ATTTCCAACTCGGAGAACTAGATACTTCCTTCATGCATTGCGAGATCAGGTAGCTGTGCTGTGTATTCAGCAGTCAGCAAGAAACTAAGTTATTTTGGTCGGTAGATCCATAGCTGCTATTCAAAACCTTTTTGCTGAAGTAAAGGGGATTGTTTTGCTCTGGGTTGACTGATGCTTGGAAAGCGTTGGTTGAAGGAGGTCCAAGGATGATGCCCCTCCTACTGATTTTTCGCAAGAGCTTCCCAGGGCCTGTGCCCCCAACGCATGTTCCTTCCTTACCAGTCAACCAAGACACCGACTGGCATTCAGGGAAGCAACTCGAAAGGTCTGGTCGGGAGATTCTGAGCTAGCTTTTTAACCTGTTAGTGCTGACACTTCCTTCTCTGCTCCAAGATAATACAGGCAGGAGCGGCTGTAAAATCCCCCACTGCCAAAATCATCTTCCCAAAGCACAGTTCTGACCTTGCAACTTCCTAGTTCAAAACCTTCAGAAACTCCCTTCTGTAGACCAAATACACTTTATAAATCTTAGCTGCCATTCCAGGCCTTCTTCAGTCTCCAACACGATCCCCAGGTATAATTTTGTTTCTCCATGCCTCTACCTTCAACCCCCATATGCTCCATCCAAACCATATCACTGAATGTTCCCTATAAAGGTATTTTTCCACTCCCATGCCTATTATGGACTGACTGTGTCCTCTCAAAATTCATATGTTGAGGCCCCGAGTCCCAGTGTGGTAGTATTTAGAGATAGGTTCTATAAAGAAAAGGTTAAATGAGATCATATAGATTAGATTACCAATTAGATTATTGTCCTTATATCAAAAGAAGAGACACCAGAGAGCCCATTCTCCTCCCCATGAGGACATGGAGAGAAGGCTGTCATCCATAAGCCATAAAGAGAGCTGTCACCAGCCCTACCATGCTGGCACTTGGACCTTAGGTTTCGAGGCTCCAGAACCGTGAGGACATAAATGTCTGTCCTAAAACCTCCCAGTCTGTGGTACTTTGTTACGCAGCCCAAGCTGACTGATACAGTGTCCTTGCATGTGCAATCCCTCTTCACAGAGTGTCCCTTTCACTTTCCATTGGACCAAATCCTTCAAAGAAATTCTTCCTTTTCTGGGAAGTTTTCACAGATCTTCTTAGCCAGTAATATCTAACTTTTACAACTTCCCAAAGAACATTGTCAGCACTTTAAAATTGTTTTCATTTTCTGACTAATAGTTACTTGAAAATATGAAATCTTTCCTACTGAACTGAAAGTCCTTGAAGGCAGGGACCTTGAAGGCAGGTACTTGAAGGCAGATACTCATCTGTGTGTCTCCCATAATTATCTAACCATCATCTTTAACATGTGAAAAATGATATCTGAGCTTTCTCTAGGCATGTGTGAAATGCTTTCTGCATTTAGTTGGAATCTTCACAGTCACCTTACAAAGAAGGTATTGTTATTCTCATTTTTAAAATAATGACATTAACTGTATAATTCCACTTTTATGAGGTCTCTAGAATAATCCAACTCATCAAGACAAAAAAGCAGGATGGTGGTTGACAAGGGCCAGGGGAAAGGGAATGGAGAGTTAGTGTTTAATGGGTACAGAGTTTCTGTTTTGCAAGAGGATAAGAGTTCTGTGGGTATATGGTGGTGACGTAGCATGACAACGTGAATGTATTTAATGCCACTGAACTGTATGCTTAAAAAAATGGGTTAAGATGTTAAATTTTATGCTAGGTGTATTTTCCCACAATTTTTTAAATAATGAAACTGAGTCGCAGAGAGGTAAAGTAACTTGCCCAAGGTTGTCCAGCGAGAAAGGGGGCATGCTTAGATTTGAGCCGTCTCTGCCCACTCTTCTTGTTTTATTTCATTTTGGTGCATCTTCTTTCTCCATTGTATAAATTCTGGTGTTTCTCAAAGCTCTATCCCTAGCTTTCTTAGATTCTGGGTTCAGAATTAGAAAACGATGAACTGTCTGGGTAAACAGAGTAGAATAATGTGCCCCCTGCCTAAGCAGCATCCCTACAACAGCTGGTTTCTTGGGTAGACTTGAATGGATGCCAGCCCTGCCTCCCTTAGACCAGCACCCCTGCATGAGGTGTAACCTGCACAAGAAGTGGTGTGTGTAATGGGTTGTCCCAGCTCATGAGAGACAACTATGTACATCTCTTCCCAACTTCCTGTTCAGTGATGCCACACCGGCCGCTGGAAATTGGCTTTGGTGGGAATATTTACATTATGGAAACCAGCAAATACTAAAAACGAAGACATTTCTCCCCAGAGAAACTGTTGCTAAGATTTACCAGCACACTGCTGTGCACAACGTACAAACTGGCTTTATTGGGGTCTCTACTCTCCTCTGGCTTGAACTTCTTTACATCAGTTGCTATGGCTGTTATTTGCATATGCCAGCAAGACCTCTACATCTATTGTCCCTCTTTCTACTTTTAGACCCATAGGTCTGCCGCCTTATTGGGCACATCAACCTGTATATGCCAGGGCACATTAAAATGTTGAAAACAGCTCCCTTCCTTCAAATTGTCTCTTCCTTAAACTATAGTGTCACAGTCCCCATGGTCTTCCACATCCAACTAGGTACCCAGTCTCAGAAGTTCTGTCTCCTAAATAGTTTTCACTGACTCCGCGTTTGTCATTGCTTTCTGTATGAGTTCAGACTCTCATCATCATCGTCATCATCATCATCATCATCATCATCATCATCATCATCATCTCTCACCTGTAACATAATATCGACTGTTTCTCTTAGCCGGCTAACTGGTCTACCTGCTTCTTCCATCCTCCTCATTATATCAGAGGTTCGCAGCTGTGCAAATGGAACCCATCATTATTCTGCTTAATTTTTCATGATACCCCATTCACTACAAGGTAAAATCCAACTTCCCTAGTTTAGCACACAAAACCTTTCACAGTAGGGCCCTAACCTTGATTTTCAGTGTCATCTACTGCTTCCTGAAACATAGTCTGTGAACCACTTGCTCATTCCAAATACCCTCAGATTATTGTTACTGCTATCAGATTGCCTTCCTCTCCCCTGCTCTACCTGGGTTCCCACACGACCTTTAGAATCCAACTCACGTGTCGAGTTGTGAAATCTTCCTGGGCTTCCTCCCTCCTCCTGAAAGATCAACCCCTCCTTCACCACACATTGTCACCTTGCACGGTGTCCCTCTTCCCACCTGTGTTGAGTGTTTGTGAGATTCCTGTTCATTGGTATAATCTTAGTACCTCACAGAACTCCTGGCATATAGCAGATACCAAATATAAATTACCTGGAGACATAAATTTGAAGTGAAGTAAAACGATTTCTGTTCTTAATGATTAGAAAATGTAGAAAATCTTTCCATCTCTTGAGCTCATGTCATGTATCCGTGATTCAGTTAGGCACTTCACTCTGTGCTCTCTGTGACTAGCCTCTGTGGTGGGGATCACACCATATCCTCCAAATAGAGATATTAGTGTTCAGGGATGTCAGTCAATTTCCTTCGAAGTTAAAGAGTTAGTAAATAGCAAATCTGATATTTGCACACAATTCTAACTTGAAATTCCATGTGTTCCCCACCACTCCATGACTCGATTGAACAAGGAAGACCTTTGTAGGAACAAATAATGATGACTAAACGTAATCGGGGCGATATCTGGAACATGTGCGAAGTTCCATGGGCACAATCTGCAGGGAGCCACTGAGTCTGAGTGGGAGGGGACTTGGAGGTGAACTTGTGCTCTGTGCCAGATATTGCTTACTCAAACCTTTCCATGGCCGGCATGACTGCCCTCTACTATACGACCAAAAAATATTACGCTTCTTAGACTCCCTCGCAGTAAGAATCTAGATGTCTGGTTTCCCCCAAGCAAATGCGCTATGTGTGGGAACTGACTGGCAGAAATGAACCTCATGTAGCAGCAGGGTGCACGATATATGAGATCTGATGGCGAGCACTGTGGCAGAGGCATTGGGTTTTCCGGGTTGCAGGTCTGGCGGAAGGTTTAAGGCCTAGCCCTAGTGTCACAGAGGCCAGCAGCGGAAAGCAGCAACAGCGGGCTTTCCTCTAGAACCGTCCCAAGATATGGTTCGGTGTTTCTCCAGGCTGTTTTGTCCCTGGAGGCATAGCACTTAACCCTGGCTCCTGGCCAACCCAGAAAAATCTGTGAATTCCCTAACACTGTGTAATAAATCCCTCTCTTCTTAAACTCTTAGCGTGGATTCTCTTGTCTGCCACTAAGCCTGCTTACCAATACAAGTACTGTCGACAGTGATCGGCTTGCTGCCCCGCATCCTGGAGAGATTATTACAGAAGCGTGTAGCCTGTCTTAGCTATTTCACCAACAAGGCCACACGATCCGTCGATCAGCAATTTGAGCTCCATGTGAGGGTTTAAAGCAGATACATATTTGTGTTATTCATATGGTTTTAGTTTATTTTTAAGTTAATTCGGATGGTATGATATTATTGTTCTAAGCAGAGCCAGTTCAGATTGGAGGGAATCCTGCCTCCTTCTTAATGTGAAATTAGCCTGAGGAATTGAGTAGCAGCGATGTGGCTCCTTCTCAGAGAGGGTGGTAATAAATCCAACTTACTGGGATACTTGAGCGAGCTCCTGCCGCATGCCAGGCATTGAGTCAGATAACCATGGTTTAATCTTCTGAGCAAGTCTGTGAGATGGGCATTGATGGAAAATGAGGCCCAAGAACTTAGGACGTTTGCCCTAGATCAACTGGTTTATAAATGGCCTCGTTGGGACTGTCACCAGGGTTGGACACAGAAGCCCACGGTTCCTTCCGTGTTGCCACTTTGCCTGCAGCGGGAGCGAGGAAGTGAAGCAGGATCATCGTCCCTCTTACACTAATGAGATGCTCATTAGAACGAGAAGTCCCGGCAACAAGGGAAAGAAAGGCAATTGAGGGGAGATGGCAGGCACGGTTTGTTCCCTCCCCAAGAGCACTTCCCTTCAAACTTCCTTAACATATCCTACTTTTCCAGGTGCTCAGGGGCCCTCTTTACCTTGAAGAAGGTGGACTCAATCCCTGTTCTACAGCGTGGCCTCCCATGTGACTGAGAAGTGAGGAGGGCTGCTCTCGACCTCATCGTGGAGTCGGCTGACCTCACCCCAACAGCCAGGCTCCAGGACTCTCACCACACATGAAAAATAAAACCCTGCTTTTAAAGCCATTGTCGTGGTTCCTGTAACAAGCAGGCAGAAGACCTTCTTGCTTATACAGGGGTTTATAATTCATAGGAAGTCTTAGGAGTGTTTGATGAGATCGCAAGAAGACATGAACAGGAACCCACCCAGAAAGTGAGGCTGGGAAGTTCTATTACGTCCTCATCTCAAACTATGAAACCACTGAGAGCTTGAGCAAACCAGAATCACCTCTTCAGCAGATCCTGGTCAACGCGCTCCCCAGCATCATTACAAGGCACGGGCCAACCATAATCCGGGTTGGTTTTGGCCTGACATGCTGTGTCCCGAGATGGCAAGGACCGGGCAAGGCTTTGCAGGTTCCTCTGCATTTCCTAGGGTATCGTTCTCTTAAAAGAACCAACGAAGTGATAGACTGCTCTCGTTAACGCCATGACAGCGGGGACTGTGCCTGAGGCGTTCACCACTGGACCCCCGACATCCGGCCCTAAGACAGGCACAGAGGAGACACTCACTAAACATCATTCGAATTGGATGGAATTGAATTACGTTAGCGTCGCCAGTAGGTGTCGGGACCAGGATTTGACCCACATAGTCTAGTTCCATGGTTTCTGCTATAAAACACTCTGATGAACTGCCTCCTAACATGACATAGGATTAAAAAGGACAATGCATTGCTGAGGCCTGGAATCTCCTCCCTGATTCCTCCCTGCCACCCCAGTGCCCACATTTCCTTCAAAGTTTAAGACCTGCTTCCTACGTGAAGCCTTCCCAGATAAATCCAGTCTCCTTCATCTCCGAATGCCTTTCGTGCGTATTGGGTACTATGCATCATATGTTCGAGAAACTGTCTTGTATCAATTTCTAAATGCCTTATAACGCTAATCCTTCTTGCTGAGCCAGCTGGTCACAGTCTCACAGAAATAATCCCATCGGAGACTGCTTTTCTGTCTCTCACAGTATCAGCACGTGAAGTACAGAGTACATGCTCTATAAAGATTAATTGACCTTCGATTTGAAATGGATGAAAGGGATGCCTACAAAGGGATGGGCAATTAACCTGAGCTCATTCTCACAGCTATTAAATTTTTTATTATAGAATAAGAATCACGTTCACAAGAGAATTGTCCAACCTTCACCCTCACATTTTCTTGGTAAACAACCCTTCCCTTCGCCCAGCTGACCTTGCCTCCTTTAACTTGCCAAGTTATTTTGAATAAGGAGAAGGATCCTGGTCTGTGTGTGTGGGTCTCAGGATTAATACTACATTTGGCTCTAGTGGCTGAAGGGGCAGCCTCTTGGATCCTCAGAGTTATGCTTCGGTGGAGAACCCTTGCCACAGAGAGACCTGCGGGGAGCCTGGGCATGGCCAATGGATATTGACAGCTTCACTGACATTTACACGAGCTGATTATTAGTTGAAGAACTTTGCGTAAACAGTTGCCATTTCAAACCAATTGATTTCTGTGAACTTATAGCACAGGTACTGCTTATGAATATGAATACTTTTCACTGGTGATTTCTTTATTTTGTGGGCCTGACCACTCCTCTGTCTCACTATGAAGCCCAACCTCTTATTTTCAGACAAAGGAATAAAGGCTCAGAGAGGGGCCTGTGACCACACAGCTGATTGATTTTCATGCCAGATCTTAACCCATCTCGCCCTACAATAACACTGCCCTATAGAAACTTCACCAATAATATTCCATATTTGCACTTTCCATGTACTTAGCCCCATGTAGCTGTTGAGCACGTGCAATGTGGCTATTATGACTGAGGAACTGAATTTTCAGTATTTTTTTAATTTAAATTAATTTAAATTTAAACAGCCACATACGTATGAGTGCCCGGCGCTTGACTTCAGCTCAGGTCATGATCTCATGGTTTTGTGGGGTCGATCCCCATGTCGAACTCTGCACTGATGACACAGAGACTGCTTGGGATTCTCTCTCTCCCTCTCTCTCTCTCTCTGCCCCTCCCCAACTTGTGTTCTCTCTGTCTCTCTCAAAATAAAGAAACTTTAAAAATAAACAAATAAACAGCAACATAGGGCTAAAGACTATCGTTCCAAATAGTACAGCTCCAGAATAACTGACCCAATTTTTAAAAAAAAAATTTTTTTTTCAACGTTTATTTATTTTTGGGACAGAGAGAGACAGAGCATGAACGGGCGAGGGGCAGAGAGAGAGGGAGACACAGAATCGGAAACAGGCTCCAGGCTCTGAGCCATCAGCCCAGAGCCCGACGCGGGGCTCGAACTCACGGACCGCGAGATCGTGACCTGGTTGAAGTCGGACGCTTAACCGACTGCGCCACCCAGGCGCCCCTAACCGACCCAATTTGTAGAGGGTCGGTATAAATATAAAAAGGCTATCTACCAAGTTCCTTCCTTTCTTGCCCCATAGAAGAACAGGGCAAGAATATTCCTGTGGAAGGAAAAAGCATGCAGTTACATTGCAGTCAACAAGAGGCACTCATGTCAGTTACCCATCACCACCCCACATATTTGCTATGCAGTTGCTATCGTCGAAACCGCAGAACGTTAGTGGTTTCCCAAACAATGCATTCTCTTATTTATTTTGGCTGTTGCCATGTTACTGCTGTGCACGAAGCCCTGGTAAAAATGGGAGGCTGATGGCTTGTGACAGGCCTGTCACTTCTGTTGGCCCACAGGCTCGTGAAGGGACGCGGAACGCTCTGCCATAAAGCATAAAAGTGATGCGTGGCTTAAAGCCCAGATTTCTAATCTTTGTCTTCACAAGATCTTTGTCTTGCACAAAACACTTGGTTTCAGGCCCCCCTGACAGGGGAGGTCATCTCATATTTTTGAGGGAGTATCATCTGAGAATAGAGCTGCCAGTTAATGCATTTTTTTATGTACACAAATTCATCCTGGACACTTGGGGCCTGGGTACTGGAAGGTAGCTTGAAAACAGGATTCTCTCTTGGGAGTAGTAAAGCTCCCTCCTCCTGGGATTTTCCAAAGGAACTCATAGAATCACCAGGTCTGAATGGTGAGAGGTAAAAAGATGAGAATGTGGCGCTGCATTCTGGCTTGCGTTGGTGAATGATTAGCTGTGGCATCGGCTTTCCTGTCTCTTCACTGCTGAGAACATTGAGGTACAAAATAAAGACTTTGCAAGCGACAACATACTCTTCAAAGAGAAGGGAAAAGAAGGAAGTTTAGCGAGCAACCTTTGGCCTGAAAGCCAAAATATTTGCTATGGTTGTCTCCCACAAAATCACTTTAATGTCATTATCATTAGATGTTAGTCCAGTTGACGTTTCTGACTACATTCCAGGCTGTGATTTGAACTTGAATCCTTTCCAGTGTTTGGAAAGAAAGGAGAAGCAACTCAAAAGAAGTGGGAATCTTAAAGTCGATCGGGACAACCTCCACCTCTGGCCAGAATGGAGTATAAAGACCCAGATTTACACTTAATAACCAGAACATTACTTTAAACAACTAGTAAAGCAGACCAACTATATGAAGTGTTGGTCTTTAGACATTGGGGAGGGGCAGCACAGAGCCCAAATAGAGCCTGATGGTCTCTCTTAGTTGAGGAGATAACCGAGTTTGGGGTTTGGAAAGGTCAGAGCAGCTAGTATTCACAGATCTAAATACCAGAGTGGATGGAGCTAGAGTGAGACAGCAAGAGAGAGGAACTACCAAGTGTGAGGAAAGAACTGGAAGTGAGTAGGAGAAACAATTCCAGGATCTCACATAAGACTGGTAATAGTTTGGTTCCCAGCAGTCAGAGTGGAAAGACCTCCTTGTATGCAGTAGCTGGAGTCCTCAAAAGGGTATTCCTTCCATAGTAGAACCAAATTGGCTTTAAACCATTCTTAGGGTAGGATTTTCTGGACCCACCCTCGCAAAGAGTACAAGTAAGCTTCAAAAGGATCAAATTCGTTCCAAGTAACTTAACTGCATTTCAGAATGAGGTCCAACATTACTTAAAGGAACACAACAAAATCCAGTATCAAACAACACAAAATTCACTGTCTGGCAGCCAAAATATATTATCAGACGATGCAAATAACTACAAAAACATAACTCATAATTAAAGAAAAAGCCAATCAATAAAAGGAAACCCATCTATAGATAAGATGAAAAAATAAGTATACAAGGACATTAAAATTATCATTGAGAATAGACTCCATATGTTTAAGAAGGTAAAATAAAACATGAATATAAGGAGAGAATTGGCAGTAAATTCAACATTTAGATTAAATCAACAAATAATTTGAGGGGTGAGAATTACCAAATTGATCTACAAAGAAATATGTCCCTGGATTTCCTTATATCTATTAAATACACTGAATTTTCAACGTCAAGTGAAGATGCCTCCACTGGCAACTTCTACCAAGCTATCAAAGAAGAAATAGTACAATTCTACAAAAGGTCTTTCAGAAAACAGAGGAAGAGGAAACACATTCTCAACTCACTCTATGAGGCCTGCATTACCCTGATAACAACACCAGGCCAAGAAATTAAAAGAATACTACAAACTAAGATTCTTCATGAAACCAGATGCAAAAACTTCAACAAAATTGTAATAAATCGAATCTAGCAATCTATAACAATAATAAATCATGACTAAGTGAAGTTGATCCCAGATGTGTAAGGTTCGTTTAACACCTGAAAATCAATGAATTTATTTCACATTAACAGAAAACCAGATGATAACCTCATAGCTGGAAAAATTCAGCACACATTCGTAATTTAAAAACTCTCAGAAAAAAAAAAAAACTAGGAATAGAAAGGAACATAAGACATCTGTGAAAGGCATACAGCTAATATCATCCTTAACGATGAAAGATTGAATATTTTCCTTCTAAGAATGGGAAGAAAGCAATGATGTCTTCTCTCACGGCTTTTGTTCAACAATGTCCTAGAGGTCCTGGCCAGTGTTGTAAGACCCCATCCTACTGGGGGGGAGGGGAGTGGGGGGAAGAAAAAAGAGAGAGGGAAGGAAGGAATAAAAGAAAGAATACAGATTGGAAAGGAAGAAATAAAGATATCCTTTTTTACAGATGATGTGAAAATAGAGGAGAAAATCTTCATGACCTTGGGTTAGGTAATCATGTCTTAGGAAGGACAGAGAAAGCATAAACCATAGAAGAAAAAAAAAAGGAAAAATGGACTTTCTCAAGGTCAAAGACTTCTGTGCTCCAAAGACACTATTAGGAAAATGAAAAGTCAAGCCACAGACTTGTAAACTATTTGCAAAACACTAATCTAAGAAATTGTATTGGGAATCTATAAAGAACTCTTAAAATTCATTATAAGAAGATACCATACTAAAATAATAATAACTCAACATCACTCATCATCGGGGAAATGCAAATTAAAACTACAATGAGATATTAACCTCACATCCATCAGGATAGCTAAAACCAAAAATACAAGAAACAACGAGTGTTGGTGAGGATGTGAAGAAAAGGGAACTCTTGTGCACTGTTGGTGGGAATGCAAACTGGTGTAGCCCTTGTGGAAAACAGTATGGAGATTCCTCAAAAAGTCCTTAACCATTCCTTAAAATTCCTTAAAAATAGGGGCACCTAGGTGACTCATTCGGTGAAGCATCTGACTCTTGATTTCGGCTCAGGTTGTGATCTCTTATTTCTTGGGATGGAGCCCCACATCCTACTTTGTGCTGACAGAGTACATCCTACATGGGATTCTCTCCCCCTTCTCTGCCCCTCCCCTCACTCATGCACATGCTCTTTCTCTTAAAATAAACATTTTAAAAAGAAAATAAGAGAAAAAAGTTAAAAATAGAACTACTTTATGATCCAGTAATCACATTACCCAAAATACAAAAAGGCTAATCCAAAGAGATACATGCCAAATTGTGGACGAAGACCAAGTGTCCGTCAGTTGATGAATGGATGAAGAGATGCCGTGTCTATGTACACACACACACACACACACACACGCACGCACATATACATACATACACATACACATACACACACAATGGAATATTATTCAGTCACAAAAAAGAATGAGGTCTTGCCATTTGCAATAGCATGGATGGGGCTAGAGAGTATAATGCTAAGTGAAATAAATCGGTCAGGGAAAGACAAGTACCATTTGACCTCACTCACGTGTGGAATTTAAGAAACAAAACAAATGAACAAAGAAAAAAAGAGAGAGGCAAACCAAGAAACACACTCTTAACTAGAGAGAACAAACTGATACAGGAGGGGAAGGAAGTGGAGGGATGGGTGAAATAGGTGATGGGGATTAAGGAGTGCCCTTGGCGCAGTGAGCACTGGGTGATATACAGAATTGTTGAATCACTATCTTATACATCTGAAACTGATAGAACATTTTATGTTAACTATATTCGGATTAAAATCTTAAAAAACGTACTTTAAAGCTGCAAGGAAATAGCATTATACTTTACCAGTGCACCTAAAACTTAAAAGATTGAAAATACCAAGTGCTGGAAAGAAAGCAACTTGAAGTCTCATACAAAATATAGTAAGTCACTTTGAAAATAATTTGCAAGTTTTATTATAAGGTTAAATATCCACTGACCATATGACACAATAATTCCACTCCTAAATATTTGCCCAAGAGAAATGAAAACAGAATCAATAGAAAAGCTTCT